GTGACTCATCCACATGGCTGACACTGACAAAGGTTCTACAATCTGAGGTACAGGATCTCAGCATAAATCCTGCAGGGATTTCACTGACCTTCTCAGACCCAAAAGCTACAACTCTTGTTGCATAGGTCCTGCTTTACCTTGGTCTTAACCATCCAGAAGAAAAGTATAAAAACGAATTATAAGAAGTAAAGCCATGGTGTTATGTTGAGCTGTAGGGGACTCAGGCCAACAATTTCTGACATTGCCTGTCAAGCAGAAGACCCAATAGTATTATGGACTGCTGGACTCTTTTTGTATATTTTGCTGAGTTAACACACCTATAATATTCAAATAACGGAATTTTACAAAAAAAGGGGGTTACAGATGCATGTCCATTTTGTATCTTTGTATTCAAAGTGGTGAGGATAGATATATAGCTACATTCTCTTAATGAATAGAGGGATTTGGGGGTTTTTTGCGCTTATAAAACTGGATAAAGATTTTATATACCACACACAGACAAAGTCATCAGTACAGAAAAGGTCAATTTCAGTTATTCTGTTGAGAATTTCTTTCCATGATTTCTCCCATTATAGTTTTCAAAGCAAGCACCATGACAAAGGAAGCATCTAATTAGTCCATTTTCTTCTGATCCAAGAATGCTCAACGTTTACTGTACCATCTGTAGTTGTTTCAGCAGTGTAATGAACACAGTTTCTATTACTGAGCTATTCTTTTAAGTCCAAGAACTGCTGAAGTCTTTTCTGATGTTCTGCAGATGCTTGCACAGCATTCAGATGTTCACCAAACGTAGTAGTTATTCGATAGATGGCAGTTTTCAATGATGCTCTGAATGCAAACCTGAATGTCTTGTAAGAAGCGTCCACACAACTTCCTGATATCCAAGGTGGTTTGCTGGAAGCATGAGGAAGCTTGAAGTCCTTGTCAACTGCCTCTTGCAGTGCGAACAAAGTATTAAGAATAGCTGGTAGTGTAGTCTGGACAACTCCAAAACTATCTTCTGTAAATGATGCTGCTACTAAATGAGATAGACCGTCTAATGCCCAAACATGCATTTGGGCATCCGAAAAAATTGCCTGAATGGAGGCCTCTGGGTGCTACAAATAAAAATACTTAAGTTCCCTTGGGCAAAAACAAATTATCAACTAGAAACTACAACTACAAAAGTCATAGCTGCCTCTGAAGAATTTATTTATTCATTTATTTATTATGAGCAGAATATATTTATTGAGAGAAAGAAAGCTCCTGTCCAAGAGAGGGACAGGAGGAGGGCCCCGAGCAGGTAGTTCCCCCTAGAGGGATTTGTTCTAATGATGTTTGTAAATAGGATTCATGTCGGCATCTTGTACAGCAATTAACCAAACACTAGGAAGAATGTATGCAATGTGCTAATTATTGAAACTGTCCTACCAATTTGGTTTGAAACTGTCTCATTGCTATTTGTTTCTCAATAAAATTATGGGGAAAAAACCAGTTATTCATCATGTAGGTATGCTAAAATTATTCTTTTACACCCTGGGCGTCTGCGGCACACGAATACTGAGGGAACCATCTGGTAGTATTTCAGGAAAGGGAACACGATCTACTCTCCTTTCCTTCTGTCCCTCAGAATGTGGATTCTAACCATAGGGTCCCAGGCCTGACCAGGACTGGGGCTTCCGAACTAAGCCCAGAAGCAGTTTTTGGACAACAAAGGGACAGAAATAGATGCAAACTAATGCAGGGCTCCGGGACGTCTGCTCACATAACAGCGCCCTTGTACTGCTAGATCAGATAAAAGTGCCTATATGCATCCTTAATTCTAGTAGTTTTTTGGAAATAGCGCCCTAGCACTTCTCCAGGAACTTGCCACGGTCCTGGGACGCGAACTTCCGGTGCGCTTCAGCGCATGCGCACTTCGCCCTCTTCAGCACTTCCACGCACGCGCGCTGTCTCCTGCTTGCGCTGGCTTCCGGTGAATCCCAAGTGTCCCCTTCTGTGGCTGCAAGCCTTTGGCCTCGGTGGGTGCTATTCGCGGAGCTTGTGGGGTCGGGGACACCAACAGGGCGGCACTGTGCAGGCGCTAGCTGTGCGATTCAGGGTCCTCGCTGCTGGGCGGTGGCTCGAGTGGGACCGCAGCCGGAGCGCGAGCCTTTGGTGGAGACCGGAGGGGCCGGGCGGGCGGCGGCGCACCTGGCGCGGCGTGCAGCGACCTCGGCGGCCAGGCCGACTCTGCGGGACGGTGAGTGCTGGGAGTAGATTGGGACCCCGGTCTGGATTCTCGGAAGTAGCGGGGCAGGCGAGGGGACGGAGGCTGCGGCGTCAGCCCCGCCCGGAACTCTCAGGGGAGGCGCGGTCGGGGCGGCGGAGCGGTGGCTTGAAGCGTTGGGAAGGGGGCGCCACCGCCGGGTGAGGCTGAATGGGAGCGCTGGGGCCGGTGGAGGGTGTGGAGGCCCGCGGGAAAGACGGCCGGTCGGGGGAGCGCGGGCCGGCTCGAGGGCCCAGGCACTCCACGGGAGGGTCTGCGGGGATGAGGTGGGAGGGGGCGTCCCCGGCCCCAGCTGGGGTCTGCAGCCCTCCCGCCGCACTCCGTGGCCCCTTCCTTCTTCCTCCACTGCCCCTCCAGATTCTCCCAAGGTATCCGTAGGTGTCCGCCAGCCCCCAGGGCTGTGACGGCTGAGTACCTTCGGTTGTGCTCTTGTAGACTCAGTGCAGCGTAGGACACGGCTCTCTTGTTTCATAGGTTGATAGAGGAAGAAGTTGAGCCTGAGCAGGTGGGCTTCCGGGCTGGGGTGCTCTGATAGGACTCGAACGCCCAGTACAGGGTTCCATCCAGTGTGTTGACTGCAGTTTTTATGTACAGCAGTCACTTCTTTCAGTCAGATAATTTAAAAGCAAAACCATCCCTGTGCACAGGAATCCCACTTCCGAGCACTGAATTGCTCAATTGCCATGGCTTCCTCGAGTTTTAAGCAATTTAAAGACAATAGAAAATATATGAGGTGGGTGGTAATTTTCTTTTCTCGCTTGCTCTTTCTCTATCCCTCTTTCCCTTCCTTTCCTCTCTCCATTTGTGTCTCGTTTCTCTGCCTTGGTATTAAAAGGGAGCAAATGAAAAAGCAGTGTTTGTATTCACCATTGAGATTCCAACTCATCTGAGCAGTGTGAGCGTGTGTTGGTACTAACAACGTGTGCTTCTTCCCTGTCACCCATTCTGCCCCTTGTCCACTAGTTTCCGCTGAGTGTGATTTCATGTGGTGGCTCCCTTGCAGGAGATTTCTGCCTGTGCCTGCCAAATAACTCCAGACCTCTGTGACCTTCGTTTTCTCCCGAGGTCCACCAGCAACAGTCATTTACTTTCCCAAGAACAGCAGAAAATGTACAGACTGCAGGTGAGTTTTCCTGGCTGTGTCTCTTTTCTTTTTCATGCCCCTGTTACACATTTCAGGATAAAGATCTGACTTTAAAATGCAAATGCAGGGATAAAAGACATTCTCATGTAGAATGCAATTAGAGTGGTAGATGAACCTTGGGAATTTTTTTTTTAACTATGATCTTTCTTTCTCTATTTGACAGACAGCAAAAGGAAAATATTGTTGATTACACACTTCACATTGACTATTGGAAGAAACTATTTGCTGGGTGGCAGCCTAGGCCAGTAATCTAGAGTTCTGGGAGGCTGAAGTAGGAGGACTGGGAAGGTCAGGGCCAGCCTGAACAACTTAACTAGACCCTGTCTCAAAATAAAATAGAAAAGTCTGGGCATAGAGCTCTGTGAGAATTCCCTAGGTTTAATTCCTGCACTCCCTCCCTACACCCCCCCCCAAAAAAAAAGGATAAACCATTTTTGTTACTCTTTTGTTGATTTTTTTTTTTTTTTTTTTTTTTTTTTGCGGTACTGAGGATTGAACTCAGGACCTTGCACTTGCCAGGCAAGCACTTATTCTACTGAGCTATCTCACCGGCCCTTGTTGAAAAAATTTCCTAGAATAAATTCTTTGTTGCAGTTGTAAAAAGTGTGGTAACTTTGCTAGTATCTAAAATGCATAGATCATTGTAGTGTAAGACATCCTTGTTTTGAATTTAAGGGTGAGTTAGCTGTCTCAGAAGAGCTTGGTACATAACATTTTTCCAGTTGCCAAAATGTGAACGAAGTAGACTTTTGGTGGGGTTAGGGGGGACAGGATGGAGACCTTCCTGCTAAGCCTCCCTAGGGCTCGGACTATGGGCTTGCACCACCACACTGGGCTAGTACCATCCTTTTTAAATATATATTTGGTATTTGAAGTTTCCATTTTCTAAAATTTTTGAGTATATTCTTTTATGTCAGGTTGCAGTCTAAGTTTTGCAGTCAACCATAACATCCAGAATATGTCTCTTTTGTGATTATTTTGCTCCCTGATCTTTATTTTTCTTGGTGAAGTACTGGGGGTTGAACCTAGGGCCTTTGCACTGAGCTGTGTCCTCAGACATTTTTTAGTTTCTGGGTTTTTTTGTTTTTGTTTTTGCAGTACCAGGGATTGAACTCAGGACCTTGTGCATGCCAGGCGGGTGCTTATGCCACTGAGCTGTCTCCCCAGCCCACTTAATTTCTGTTTTGATGCAGGGTCTCACTAAATCTCAAGGCCACCCCGCTGGGGTTGAGCTTGTGATCTCCTGCCTCAGACTCCCAGAGTATTGAGATTACAGGTTCAGCCCACCAGTTACTTTTGAAGAAACTGGAATGTTTATCTTTAGTTTCTCAGTTTGGAATGTATTGCCATCGTTTTAACTTTTTTTAACTTCAGGTATGCCTGTAAAATTGGTTGTCCAGCCTGGAATTTTAATTAGATTTATGTTCAGTTCTTTTGTCAAGACTATTGTACATGCCATTTGTGCACTTCTTCTGGGGCAGTATATTTTGTAACTTTGTGTCATTGTTTTTGTGCATAATTATTGCAGTGACCCTTGATCCTGTAAGGGAGGCAGAATAGTAATAGTAGTGGAAATAATCTACCATTTCTCTACATTTACTTACTGGAATAGATTCCTAAAAGTAAATTTCATTTTGGTTGCATGGATTGCACTGGACAGATAATTTTCAAAATGTCAAATAGGATTCTATTTATTTTGGGGGGGTTATTTTTTAGGGTTTGTTTGTTTGTTTTCTTTTTTAGAGATAGGGCTTTAGGGGGCTGGGGAGATGGCTCAGTGGAATAAAGTGCTTCCCTGGCAAGTGCAAGGGCCTGAGTTCAATCCCCAGTTCCGCAAAAAAAAAAAAAAAAATGTCACTTAGAGATAGGGCTTCAGTGTGTAGCCTAGGCTGGCCTTGAACTTGAAGCCATACTCCTGCCTCAGCTTCCCAAGTGTTGGGATTAAGGTGTGTGTACCACCATGCCCAGTTCAACTAGGATTCTGAAGAGTTTGGATTTTTTTGTGTTATGCACTCATGAGCTTCAGAATCAATCTCTCTCTCTGTCTCTCTGTCTCTGTCTCTCTGTCTTTTTTTTTTTGGCAGAACAGGGGATTGAACTCAGGTCCATGCGTTTGCCAGGGAAGCACTTATTCCACTGAGCCATCTCCCCAGCCCCTTTTTGTTATTTTTTGAGACAGGGCTTTGCTATGTAGTCCAGGCTGTTCTCGAACTTGAAGTGTTTGTCCTGCCTCAGCCTCCCGAGTATCGAATGTGCACTACACCTCACCTTTGGAGAGATTTTGACCATTATTTCTTCAAGCCTCTCACACCCCCTACCTCACCCCCACCCAGCCTCCACTTTCATCTATTTCTGGCTTCTTCCACCACTAACTTATGCTTCTTACTTTCTCGATTATCTTTTCTTCCAGTTTCATTGAATGTAGCTTCTTTGCAGCATCTTTGTGTTCAGTGCTTTTTTCCCTCCTTTCTGCAGTGCCATCAATTTTACCCAGCAAATTTTCATCTCAGGTATTAGACTTTTTTCTGGGGAAGTTCTGTTTGAAGCATTTTCTGTTTTGCCTGCCTCTACTCAAGTATTTTGGACTTAGAAAGTATAGTCGCAGACTTTCAGTGTCATCTATTAGCTGTGCCCATTCTTTGATTGTTTTTTTTCCTTCCATGTGGGCCATATTTCCTGTCCTATTTTTTCCAAACTCTCAACTCTTTCTCCTCACCTCTGTGTCTTATTCATGGTCTCAGAATTCTTGGAAAGTCACAAGTTACTGTCTTCACTGCGATGGTTATTTTTCTTGAAAACCAGGACTTGTGTAGTATGGGAGGATGGAGGTTGGGGTGGTCATAACTGAAAGCAGAAGTCTTGAATGTCTCTATACAGTGATACCTCGGCTCATGAACTTAATTTGTTCATGATTTTGGAAAAGATGGCCAAGTTTTGTTTGTGTGGGAGAGATGGCCACAGTCATGTTTGTCACCTGATGTAGAGGTGGCAAACAAAAACAAAATTTTGCCAAATGCTTTTGTTTGTGAACCATACTGTTCACAGACAAAAGTGTCTGTGTCTGAAGATACCGCTGTATTTTATATATGTAAATCACATATATAAGGCTGGAAAGCCTTTCCCCACATCAAGGTTATGCAGTCAGTGACCTGTTTATTCTGTATGGTTGGACTTTTCATATTTAGATCACTGATCCAGGTGGAGTTGCTTCTTCTGTGGTATAAGGTCTGGGTGCAGTTTTGAAGCCATTTAGGTGTTTATTGCTTGCTCTTGCACCATTGGTTGTAGCTTTGCCCTACAACAATGACATACCAGAGGCTGCACATTATAAGAGGGAAGGTCTGTTTATCTCAGTGTGGGAAGCTGAAGGATGTGATGCTGACAACATCTCTGTTCATGGCTGTGTCACATCATAGTAGTGGTGCGTATATGTGAGCTTACATCACCAAACAGGAAATCAGGTACTGCTGTTCCACACTGCCTTCGGTTTTGTTTCTTTGCATTTTGTTTTCTATAAGGCTGGTCCCAAAGTCACTGTGATTCTCCCAGCCTCAGCCTCCCTAGTGCTGGGATTACAGGTTTTGCCACCCTACCAGCTCCCACAGTCCCTTCTAAGGACATAATCCCAGTGATCCAAGAACCCTTTATTAAATGCCATCTCTCAACAATGCCACCGTCTCCTTACATTGCCACCCTGGGGACCAAGACTTTAATCCCAGTGGACTCTTGGCTGGCACTTAGATCATACCCAAAGCATGGCACCCTTTACTAGAAGTCATTTCTGCTGCAGTGATTTGACATGTCCCCATCATCACAAAATCCTCTAAGTCTCTTTCTAGATTTACTGTGTTTTCTATGTGCTACCAAATTTCTTTCTTTTGGGGGGTGAATGCTGAGATTCAACCCAGGGTGTGACACATGTAAGTGACTTAGGGTAGCTGATATCTTTGTGTCATTAAGGTGACCTATCCAAGAGGAAGGAATATTACATTTGTTCAGGCTTATTTCCATGACTTTGTGTATTTTAAGTTTTTCTTGGTAGAGATTTTGTGTTAAGAGTTTTATCTTTCAGTTACAAGCCTTGTATAACTTGGATTTATGTTCTTACTCTTCTATAGTGAAAGCTACTGGTTTATGTTAATTTTATATCCTATAACCTTAAATTTTGGGGGGTTTTTTTTAGTCAGTGTTTATATAGTCCAGACTAGGCTTGAACTGGTAGTGATCCTCCTTCCTCAGTCTCCCAAGTGCTGGTATTACAGGCTTTAAAATTCTTTTGTGGAGTTAATTTCATCATCAGTATTCTGAATTTTAATAGCATCAGGAAATAGAAATAGCTTTTTTCTGTCAATCATATTCCTCTAGGTTTTTTTTCTCATCTCTAATTAGACATAATGTACATTTTACCTTGTTAGGATTTGTCTTGGTACTCTTCTCTCGTTGCTGGGACAAATACCTGACACCCAAAATGAAGGAAGGAAAAAATTATTTAGCTCACAGTTACCGGAGGTAACTGTGAGTTACCTGGAGTTTCAGTCCATACTTAGCTGGCTCCAAGGCAGAGTGGCATATGGCAGAGGGCAGCAGTTCATGGCAGTGGAAGGCAGCAAAACAGCAAGAGCAAAAGGAAGAGTAAGAGCAACAATGGCTACAGAGAGCAAGTCTGTCTCCCTTATGTTGCATGCAGGCTGTCTGCTCCAGGATGAGTGTAGCGCTCACACCCATGATCTTAGCAGCACTTATACCCATAATTCCAGTGGATCATGAGTTAATCACCCCATGACTGCATGAGGCTTTGGGGGAAAACTAGACACAAACCATAACAGGATTTTAGTGAAAATGAAAATGTGTGTAGTGTTTCCCCATTTTCTCACTTTCAGAACGGAGACATGAGTATGTATGCATGTGTATGTAGAAACTCAATGTATACTGTATGTATGTACTTACCTGGGGGTGAGGTATGTATATGTGTCATGTATGTAGGTATATATCCATCACACAAAAGGTGTAAGGAAGTATGCGTATGTGTTCATATATGTATTGATGATACTGAAGTATCCATCAGATTTTATTTTCTTGTGTTCTTTTAAAAATTGAGTTTGCTGGGCTGGAGATGGAGTTTAGTGCTAGAATATTTGTGTCATATGCACAGGGTTCTAGGTTCAACCCCCAGTACATAAAAAGAGGAAGAAGAATAGAAAGGAAATATCAGGTATGCATTTTTAATATTATTGTCCTTTTGCAAGTCTTGGAAACAAATTTTTTCTTACTTTGATCATAATGGGATATTATACTTACAACTTTCTAAATACTAAACTAATCTGTATTCTTAAGTTACATTTGGCTACTATGTATTCTGTTTTCAGTCTGGCATTAGATTCTGTTTGCTAGTATTTTATTTGGGCCATTTATTTTGACATAAGCAATATTGGCATGTGATTTCACATGACTTATTGGTTAATCAGTCTTCTAAGCACTACAACGTCCCTAGCTTCTGGGCTCCCTTAGCCCACTTCTTTCTTTCTGTGGATGAATTTCTCAACTCATTTCTGGCCTGTGGGTGGTCATACATGTTCTGCTCAAGGTAACAGCTGTAACTGTGGTCTGAAGGAGTCTAATGGGGCTGTGGCAATTGTTGAGTTAGTGATGTCTACCAGTGTTGGTGCATCCTTTATGGGTAATAATATTCTGTGGCACAGTCATTGGGGTATAACCTATAAGAAAAATGTCTGTGGTGCCAGAATCTACCCCTTGCAGCAGCACTGAAAGCCTTGCCTTGCTGATGTTTCACTGTGGTCTGAAACCATTTTCTTAGGTGACAAATTATCTTGGTTTTCTGAAAGTGACTTTCTGTTGTCTTTATGCATAAATATGAGGTCATCTTGGTATACATCTTAGGTTCTAAATTTTTCTTCTTTCAAAGAAAAGAAAGTGGGCAGTTTTCCATTTTTTACCATCAGAGGGGAAATTTAATGTTAGTTGCCAGGATAAATAGTGTTTTCTTTTTTCCCTCTTTAAAATTTTAGAGGGTTTTTTTTTTTTTTTTTTTTCCATTTTAGATACTTAACAGATTTCTGGATCTCTGATTACCCAATCTTCTTATTTGCCAATGAGAGACCCATTCCGGAGGTGGAAGCTTCAGTGCATCTTTAGCCCAGATGTCATTTGCAGGTCATCTTTTGATTAGTTTTTGTTCATCCTCTGTGTTCTCTATTTCTGAAAGTGTTGAATTTGTTGGGTTGTCCCAAATTTGCTTTTATCATTTCTATCTTATTTTCTAGAAAACTTCCGAAGATAATATCTTGTGTCCCATTTATTGACCAAGCCTGTTGAGGACTTTTAATTGTACACTCCAGTCCAATTTCTAAGTATTTTCTGATGGCTGTTTCTTAGCACAGTATTCTTTCTGAAGCACATCCCACTGGGCTTTTTGATTTTGTTTTTTATTAGTACATGTTTATAGTGCATAATGTTTTCATTCCTTATGGGGAATTGTTCATTACAGAATATATCTCAATGCCTTTTTTACCCCCTTTTTCTTCCCTCTCCCACTCTATCTATCTCTTGTTCCCTTCCTTTTTTCTTTTTTTTCTGTACATGTTTGTTGTACATAATGTTTGCATTTCTTGTATGGAGATGGTACATGCACATAATACATACTAACTCTTTATATTTCTTTCCCTCCCCTTTCTCCATCTCTTGGTCTTTTTTACAAAAGATCTATTTCCCTGTTTACTATTATCTATCTTTTATTGTGTTCTTTATATTTTGCATTTCTCATATAAAAGGAACCATTGAAATATCTCAAGGTGTACCCATTTTCCTACAGATGACTCAAGTTTATCTTGCAGAGTAGTACTCCATTGTATATAAATACCACATATTCTTTTTTATTCATCTGTTGATGAACATACAGACCACTTCCAAGATTTAGCTATTATGAGTTGTACTGCTATAAACGTGAGCATGCACGTATCATTTAATGTGATGCCTTTAACTCTTTTATGAAGAAACAAAGAAGGGCAATAGCTGCATTGATTGGAATTTCTAGTTTTGGGTTTTTGAGGAATCTCCATACTGATTTCTATAGTGGTTGTACTTGTTTACATTCTTACATGGTGAAGGGTTCCTTTTCCACAGCCTCTCCAGCACATCATTATTTGATTTCTTGATGATGGCCAGTCTTTCTACAGTCTGGTGGAACCTCAGTTTTTATTCTAGTTTGTTTACTTTAACAGTCAACAATGGTGGGTTTTGTTGTTGTTTTAGTTTGGTATTTCGAGATAATGTCTCACTGTGTAGTTTGGGTTGGCCTTGAACTCACTAAGTCACCCAGGTAGCCTCAAACTCTTGGTAATCCTCTTGTTACAGTCTGTGAGTGCTGGGATTACAGGCATGTGCCACCAGGCCCAGTAGTATCTCCTGAATTCATTTACAAATGTGAGTCAATTCCTACTGGAAGTCCTGTAGAATACACAGTTCATCTTTTAGAATTTCGGATTAGCCAAATCTTTGAAGCCTAGTCTGAGAGCATACGGTTAAAATAGTTTGAGTCCTTTCAGTTCAGCCACCCTTTACTTTGTATGTATCACTCTGTAACTAAACTTTGGGGTGTTTATTTAAGAAAAAACATACATTGCTATTGGATGTGCGGCACACACCTATAAGCCCAGTACTCTTTAAGAGCCTGACATAGGGGGATCACAAATTTGAGCCCAGCTTGGGCAGCCTAGTGACTTAGACTCTGTTTCAAAATTGAGAATGTTTTTTTAAAAGGTTGTGTATTTAGCTCAGTTTAAAGGCCCTAAGTTCAATCACCAGTGACCCAATAATAAAAAAACAGAAAAAAATATATTGGTGCAAGAATGAGGTGTAACTTGGAGAAAAAAACAAAAAAACAAAAAAAAACACCCACCCATGTGATTAGCCAGAGTTGGTTGCCATGGGAAGGAAAGAGGCAGAGGATCAAAGTGCTGAAGCAGGTGAGAGCTGCAGAGAGGTGATAGGAAGGGAAAAGACCTGAACTGTGGTGCTCCACCATGAAGGGGCTGAGGAACTGGAAGGGCCCAGTCAGCAAGAGGCCACTAAAAGAAACAAGAAGCAAAGCGTGTCTGTTATTTGCATGTGGGTCTCCATATCACACTATCAGTCTTTCAAGAGCAGGAATAGGGTTTTATTTAGCTTAGATCCCTTTAAGTTCATAAGTTCCCCTGCAAATTTGAAACTCTGTTGGGTTTTGGTTTTTATTTTTGTTAACGAACTGAAAGTTAATGTGGTTCTATACTGTTTGCTTTCTTTCTATAGCATGTAAACATAAAGTATGGTATAGTGTTTATGGTTAACTTATCAGTGAGCCTGAGAAGATCCCTTGCCCCTCCATACTTTTTCATGTCACCCATTTCCAATTATGGTGCCATTGTAGGGGCGAGTGTCATTCAAGGATGTGGCTGTGGACTTCACCCAAGAGGAATGGCAGCAACTGGACCCAGATGAGAAGACAACGTACAGGGATGTGATGCTGGAGAACTATAACAACCTCATTTCTGTGGGTGAGGATAACTTCCTTTTCTTTTTTTCTTTCATAAAGGTCTTGCTGTACAGTTCAGGGTGGCCTTCAACTCACTTATGTGCTCTATGCCGGCCTCAAACTCATCCTGCCTCAATCTCCTGAGTGCTGGGATTACAAGCACTAGCCTCATGCCCAATGTTTTTCTTTCTTTTTTTCTTTCTTTTGGTTTGGTTTGGTTTTTTGTTTGAGACAAGGTCTCACTATGTATCCCAGGCTGGCCTCAAACTCAAAATGATACTCCTGCCTCAGCCTCTGGCATGCTGGGATTATAGGCATGCACCACCACATTTGGCAGTAGTTTGCTTTCTGAACACTTTTAGTTTATGACTTTGTTCTTGAGTATGAAAGAACAAGTGATAAGCCCTTTTAATTCCTTTTGGTTATATGTTGAATATTTATATCTTCTCCATTGAAAAGTTTTAATTTTGATAAAGTAAAAACTGACAAAGATAAAAACTGGTGTACTTTATTCTGCAGCCTCTGGGGCAGCATCTTCTTCTGCTGCAGAGATTCTGAAGCCAGCCAGCTAGTCCAAGTTCTTGTTCATTTCTGGTTAACAGGGTGTGATGTTACCAAACCCAATGTTATCATTAAATTGGAGCAGGGAGAGGAGCCATGGACAATAGAAGATGACTTCTCTCATACTTGTTCAGGTGAGTGAATATAATCATCAACTTTTGGGCCTTCTGAGGGCCTTCCGTCAATACTGTAAGGGTCACTTAATTTTTTTTGATGGGGGACAACTTTAGAAATTTCACATTTAAGATTTTTCACCAAGTGAAAACTGGGGAGATTAGAAACCGTCTTTTGTATTCAGAATTAAGAAAAAGTATTATGATAAGTACATGACTAATTTTAGGAAATCTAATCAGCAAACTGAAAGAAAATTCATGATTATACTATTTATGTCAAATTTTCCATGCTCTGTTTGTGGGGGAAATCTGAGCTTTTTAGAATGTTTACTTAAATTTGTGTGCAGAGTAGAAAGGCAGTGATTTCAGAATGGCCTAGGCTGGCAGTCTTGTGGGTATGAAATCATGTTGGCAATTTAATATGAATTGCAATCTGTTTATACCAAATGTAATCCATACTTGAATATCTCTTTCGCATGTTCACGTAATATTTGTTCTTGTTCTTGCATGGACCCCCTTTGCTCTGCCTGTTTCTGCCTAGATCTATCACTTAATTTGGTGGGTTAATTTCTCTACTAAAGTTTTGTTATATTACCTATATAGTATTTGTCATGTAAAAAAAGATAATAGCATTTGGTATGAATTCATTTTTCCTTTTTCCACTACTACTGTGTCTCATCCCCATACTTCCATACCTCCCTCAATTCCTGGGGGGGGGGGCATATATGTGTGTGTTATATTATAAACTAAAGGGAGAAAAGCCAATACATTCAATTTATGTTTTATTCTTGTATACTGGCCCCAAAGGCAGAATTGTCCCCACAAATAAGATACTTAAGTACCACTCCCATTCTGTAGCTTGTGTGTCCAGATTCATGAAGTTTGTTTAATCTTTTTCTTTTCAGAAGTATGGAAGGTTGATGAGCTGATTGAAAGAATCCAAGAAAATGAAGACAAACATACAAGGCAAGCTGTTGATATCCATAGTCAAACCGTGTTGGAAGAGCAAAGGGACACATTTGATCAAATTTATAATGTGGAAACAAATCTTGTTCCTTCAAGCATAATAGCTCACAGATGTGTCTCCTGTGGGAAGAAGTTAGATTCTGTTTCAGAATTAATCAGTAGTGATGGAAGCTATGCAAAGAAGAAACTTGATATATGTGATGAATGTGAGAAAATTTGTCATGGAGAAAACCTTTGTGAGTTTAATCAAAGTGAAGACACTAGTTCTCAAAGTGAAGAAAGTATTCTGCAGAAAATTAATGATTTGGAGAAGCCCTTTGACTACGATTGCATGGAAGCCTTAGACAGCGAAGCTGTTTTCATTGCTCATCATGAAGGAGCATATATGAGGGAAAAGCCTTATGAGTGGAATGACTCTGAGCCAGACTTCATCCAGATGTCAAATTTTAACTCCTATCAGGGATCACAAATAGAAATGAAGCCCTTTGAATGCACACAATGTGGAAAGTCCTTTTGCAAAAAGTCTAAATTCATCATTCATCAGAGGGCTCACACAGGAGAGAAACCGTATGAGTGTAATGTGTGTGGGAAGTCCTTTAGTCAGAAGGGAACACTCACTGTACATCGCAGATCACACTTGGAGGAGAAGCCCTATAAATGTACTGAGTGTGGGAAAACCTTCTGTCAAAAGTTACATCTCACACAGCATGTGAGAACTCATTCAGGAGAGAAGCCCTATGAATGTAGTGAGTGTGGGAAAACCTTCTGCCAGAAGACACATCTCACCCTACACCAGAGAAACCACTCAGGAGAGAGACCCTATCCATGTAATGAGTGTGGGAAATCCTTCTCACGCAAATCAGCCCTCAGTGACCATCAGAGAACCCACACAGGCGAGAAGCTTTATAAGTGTAATGAGTGTGGGAAATCTTACTACCGAAAATCCACCCTTATTACTCACCAGAGAACACACACAGGAGAAAAGCCCTATCAATGTAGTGAATGTGGTAAATTCTTTTCAAGAGTGTCTTACCTCACTATACATTACAGGAGTCACTTAGAAGAGAAACCTTATGAGTGTACTGAATGTGGCAAAACTTTCAATTTAAATTCAGCCTTCATCAGGCACCGGAAGGTACATACAGAAGAGAAACTCCATGAGTGTGGCGAATGTGGGAACTTTTCTCAGTCATATCTCACTGACCATGATAAAACTGACATAGGAGAGAAGGCCTATGAATGTAATGAGTGTGGGAAACCTGTTCTTGAAAATTCAGCCTTCAATGAAAACCAGCCAGTTCCAGAAGAGGAGAAAACCTATGAATGTAATATATGTGGAAAATCTTTCTCTGAGTTGACTACCTATACTGTACATTACAGAGGACATGCTGAAGAGAAGCCCTTTGGATGTAATGAGTGTGGGAAAACTTTCTCTCATAATTCATCCCTCTTTAGACATCAGAGAGTACACACTGGTGAGAAGCCCTATGAATGTTATGAGTGTGGGAAATTCTTCTCCCAAAAGTCCTATCTCACAATTCATCATCGGATCCATTCTGGAGAGAAACCATATGAATGTAGCAAATGTGGGAAAGTGTTCTCTCGGATGTCAAACCTCACCGTACACTATAGAAGCCATTCAGGAGAAAAACCCTATGAATGTAATGAATGTGGAAAAGTCTTTTCTCAGAAGTCATACCTCACTGTACATTACAGAACTCATTCAGGAGAGAAACCCTATGAATGTACTGATTGTGGGAAAAAATTCCACCACAGATCAGCCTTCAATAGCCATCAGAGAATTCATAAAAGAGGAAATATGAATGTAGTCAATGTGGAACATCCCTGAAATCCAATCTCAATTTTTAGAAAAACTTCTGACTGGACGAATATGAGAAATTGGGTAGGGAGCCTAGTATTGTTAATTTGACCATTCATCTTCCTGAATGGGAAAATTTTGAAGTGTTGGATCCATTTTAATCTGATTTTTCAGAGAAAAATCTCTAACAGTACACCAAGTAGCAAAGCCTTCAAGAAGGCCATGTAATTCATAGGACCCTAGATAATTTATGCAGGCATAAAATTTTATAAATATTTATTTTAGTTTCAACTTGTATATACCTATCAGGGAGTCATACTAAGCAGAAATATCAATATGAATGTGGAAAACATACTGTCTTGAAAATTGTTATGCTAAAAGCCATATTTCTGATGTAAAAACAAATGTTTATAGAAAAGATATCAGAAACTACCAGTTCTGAATAAACGTTCATTTTATAAAATGAAGTTTTAAAATCAACAAGAGTTGATATGAGAATTGTAGCATTAAACTGCATTTCCTATTGTTTTTCAAAGCAATCTAATGGTAATTCTATGCAATTCTATTCAAGTTAGGATTTGAATAATTTGTGAGAAGATGGTCTTCTTACTTGAGTATTGGGTGACAAAATGTACTAACAGTGATATATTGTTGGGATATTTGATAGTTATATAATGGTAAAATATAATTTTCAGTTCTTTAGAGGAATTTACAAGTCCATTTTTAAAGAAAGCCTCATCAGTAGAGGAGTGATTTTCAACTTGAGCAAAAAAGGATTTCTAAAAATACTACTTTGGTAAAGTGTGCACACGTAATTTGGGATTTAGGCTGTTTTAGCAAAAGAACTAGTGCTGTATGTGCTGTCCTACTCTAAAGTACCTCCAGTTCTCCACCTCGCGTGTTTTTAGATCTATAGATTTGAGTACATAGAATTTCATTCTGTAATTGAGACATTTTATTTGAGTTTTTATGTGATACAGGTATGACGGTCATTTTATTGCCCTTATTCTCATTACTTGGAACAAATCAATATTAAGTTAATAGCAGATATTTTCTGGTTAATTAACTTCCTTCACTCGATCCTGTAAATCTTGATGAGCTTACACCAATAATGATCCATTACAGTAGCAGCCTGTTCTTCACAGGGCATCTGTTCCAAGGCCCCCAGGGGATGTGTGAGATGGCCGATAGATCCAGCCCTGCATGTGCAGTGGCACTACAGCAATCCTTCTGAATACATATGTGGTTGCTATGTCATGGGTAGGTAGCAGATACAGCAGAGATTCATTGGACAAAAGGGTGACTCATGTTCCAGGCAGGATGTGTAGGATTTCATCACACTAATTAGAATCATGCACACATTGAAACTTATTTGTGAAATTTCCCATTTAATATTTTTGGACTGGCTAACCCTATGAAACTGAAAATGTACAAAGTAAAACTTTGGATAAAGGGCTATTGTAACTTGTTTATAATGGCCATATGACCCAGTCATTCACAAACCAGGTTTGTTCTGGGAAATGGGTAAACTGGTGATCAAATGGGTCTTATTCCAGGAATGCAAGAGTGGGTAAATATGACTTTAAGAAGTCAGTCACTGGTAATCACAGAAAGGTGATTTGGTACATAGAAAACTCATACAGTTAGTGTATATTTATAATCTTGGCACATGTGGATAGAAAGGAGCTTCCTTAATTGGACAAAGAGTAACTTAAACTGTAATGTGATATGCTTAATGGTGACACAGTGAAAGTTTTTTTTTAATGATAAAAAGTCAAGGATATCGTCTATCATGGAGTTTTTTCAGCATTTTACAAAAGGTCTTAGGGAGTTTTAAAATTATATATGTATGTAAAACTATGCAGAGATATAACTAACTTGATCTTAGCCAAAAAAGGCTTAGAAAATAGAATATTCTATGTAATATTCAGATAACTAGTGATTTGAGCAAGGTCCCTGTATATAAGATCATTTTGCAAAAGTTTTTTATTATACCAACAAAAAAGAAAATCTGATTTTTTTTTTTTTTTTTTTTTTTTTTCCCTAGGAAATTTAGCCTCTATTTTTCTGGAAAATTCCATTTTTATAATAGAGACTAGGGTCTCCCCCAACATGGAGGGATGTTTCTTGTGTATGGATTTCAGGACAGACTCAATGTCAGTTTTCCCTAAATTAATTCATATATTGAATACAATCTTTTCCTGTTTGGTTTTGTTTTTGTGGTAGTGGGGCTTGAATGCAGGGCCTTGAGCATGCTAGGGAAACATTCTGGTGCTGATCTACACTTCCAGCTCTTTATTTTGTTGTAATTTTTTGAGACAGTGATGCTTGAGGTGGCCCCAAACTTGAAACCTTCCTGCTTCAGCCTCCTGAGATGGTATTACATGCATACACCAGCACACCCCACTCAATATAACCATAATAAACTCTAGTCTTGGAAATGGAAATTTACAAGTTAAATCTGAAGTTGATATAAAGTCAAAAGATCAGTAATGTAGTTAAAGCTGTCTTGTAAAAGAGCTGTATAATTTATGTTGGAAGGTTTCAAGACTTGTTATAAACCTGAAGAAATTATGTTGTGATATTTGCACAAAGATAAAAGTGCCCAGTGAAACAATATTCATGTCAACTTTAGCTTTATTTATGTGTCCTGTTTGGCTATTTTCATACAGTAGCAAAGTTGGGCAGCTGCAACAGAACAAAGCCCCAAATATTTACTATCCAGTTTCTTAATAAGCTCATGGATGCAGTTCTCTCCACCCTGCCTGCCTTCCACTTGCTTTCTTCATGATGCCTTTCTGCTAAACAGAAGTTCCTCAAGTTTGTATATACAAATTAACTGATTTCTATGTTACAGTTTAGAATTTTAGATCTTAAGAAAACTTTACTTATTCTGTTAGGAAGTTTCCAAAGTTTTGACCAAGTTTACAGGAAAGAGCATCCTTCTTCCCATCATGTTTCACCCTCATTCTTGGTCCACAACTCTGTATGTGTCTATTGACATTCAAGAACTCACCTGGGTTTATTGTGGGTGTATGGAGTGGGGTGTGGTGGTTCAAGTGGATGAGAAGCCAGTTTGGGCAAGAATGTAAGCAGGAGGGGTTTGGGGAATTGCCAGCTAGAGCAATCTTTTTATAAAATTGGCACATGGGTGCTATTCAACACAAACTGGCAGAAAAGAACTATCGAGGCATGTAGAGTGAATAAATGCATGTGGTGTTTCTGCAGTCGAATACTGTACAGCAGTGAGAATGAATGAACTGTAAGCCCATGTGGTAGCACCCGACTTTCACCATGTTGAACAAAGGGGCACGGACAGGCAAGCATACTGTGTGATTCTATGTGGAGCATGAGGATGGGCAAATCTTGTCTATGCAACTAGAAATCGATAAAAACTTATCCTTGGCCAATGCTGAAAAGGGATATTTATCTGGTGCTGGCAATCTGTTATGAATTGGGTGCTGAATATCTGTTTTGAGCTGTATTCTTAAAATGTATTTTTCTCATGTATATTACACTTTGATAAAAGTTTCTAAAGTCAAATGGTTAACAACTTCCTCAGTACGCAGCATATTTTTCTAGGGACAATATATGTGCTACAGAACAACAATTAAATGGCAGCTTTTTCATAACTGCAATAATATCTACTCTTTATAGTAGTTTTAATGGCAACTACTATAATTTCTACACTGCCCTTAAAGCTGACCGTTGTGTATATTTTAAGTAAAATATTGAAAGGGTTAACTCGTTACATATTTTGTCATCCCAGACTCTTGCATATATAAATGGCTCTGGCACATATCAGTGGTTTTGAGCTTCCTCTTAAATAAAAAAAGAAAAGCTAATGAGTAAACTCTCCACATTTTGTCAAATTGTTTTCACATTTCTGAATTTGAGGTACATCTTAAACATTGCCAGAGAGATAACATTTCTTTAAATACAGTGCTGAATTTGATTTGATGAAAAATTACATTTAAAAGGTATTCTCTTGATTATTTCAGCAAATATACAGAGATTTTTTGTTTGCTTTTGCTTTTTTTTTTTTTTTTTTTTTTTTTTTTTTTTTTTTTTTTTTTTGTGGTATTGGGGATTGAACCCAGAGCATTTGTGCTGAACTACATCCCCAATCCATTCTACTTTTGTTTTGAGACAAGGTCTTGTGAAGCCTTTTAAGTTGCCCAAGCTGGTCTTGAACTTGGCCATACTCCTGTGTCAGCCTCCCACGGTGATGGCAAGTGTGTGCCACCATACCAAGCCTGTAATAGTTTTTAACAGCACTCGGTGGGAGGTACAGAGATGCTGGCTAAGCTTATAAGGGCAAAATTTTTGATGGAATAGACTTTTTTTTTTCTCTATTTCACTACTCTTGTGGATTAAGACTGAAGTGTGAACAGATGGATAATGCCTGCTAGTGCTCTGATTTGGGAGATGTGACTCCCCTACTCAGAGGGAGGATGTCCTGTCTGTTGTCACCCAGAGACCTGTATTCCCTGCACACCACTGAAACCTGCTCACTGAAGGCTCAGTTAACTTTAGCATCTCTAAACTATGCGTGAGACATGAATGCAAGATGACAAATCTGAGGCCAAAAGCTCACCTGCTGATCCTCATTCCATCCCAGTTACGCTGGGACCCGGGAAAACAAGCTTTTTAAAGAGAAGCCCATGAGAGCAAGGTAGTGTTACAACTCCCAAGGTAAATTTTGTCAAGGCCACAAAGGAAAATGTAGAGTATTTTCTCTCTGCCACAAAACACAACTTCACATTGTGGAAATTAATCCCTTGTGGTTTCAAATCGGTGATCTCCCTTTAAATTGCAAGTTTGAGGGTAAAGGGTGTGGAGTGAAAATAATGTCAGAATTCCTCTGAGAGGAAGCAGGGGACTCTCCATGGAGGAACATACACAAGGCCGAGGCAACTTTCAAAATGATTTCTGCATACGGTGTCCCTGTCACATCATTCTCTGACCTGATAACTGGAAAAGGAACCCTGGAAGCTCAGTCTGACCAGGATGCCAGCACATGGGCTGAGGGAAGAGAAGAGGAAACATGCCAGCAGGGTGGTGTGCCTGTGTGGCTCCACCAGGACCCAAGAGCTAAGCTTCCAACAGACAGAAGGAAGTGAGAGGGGAGGCCCTGGGAATGCTGGGATCTCCAGAGGTCGGTAGTCCTGACTCAGCCCAGCCTTGGGAACTTAGATAGCTGGGGATGTAGCTGAATGGGAAGGCCTTGGGTTCAATTCCCCATACCACCATTAGGTGTTAAAAAATACCTAAAAGTTTAGCTCCTAAAACCATAAAATTTACAATGTCTGGCTTCCAATAAAAAGCTTTTCCACCACATATACAAGAGACACAGGAAAAAAACAAGCAAAAAAAACAAAAAAACAAAAAAACAAAAAAAAAAAAAAAACCAGGCAGGTGGTGCATGCTAGTGAACCCAGCACTTAGGAGATTGAGGCAGAAGGATTGCCGTGGAGTTCTAGGCCGTTCTGGACTACACAGTGAGATCCTGTCTCAAAAACTCAAACAAACACAACACAACCTACAACGAGGAAAAAAAAAAACTAATAGAGACCCAGCAGTGGCAGCCATCATCCATGATAGAAGCAGGACCTTAAAGCCACTAAATACACTCCTTAACATTCAAGAGGAATGAAGAATGGATAGCAAGAGGGACCCCAAAGGATTACTCACCTCCCAGAGGAAGGAGAAAGCTCAGCTGGCAGGCTTGGTCATCTGGGTCACACCAGACAGGAGAGGAAAGTCCAAGCAGGTCTACAGGAGCAAGCTAATCAAGAGAGACCAGGCTGCTGGGGGATGGTCTCCATGCTGGGGCCTATCAGGTGAGTGGAGACACTTTCCCACAAGGTTTAAAAGGGGTATGGCTAGGACATGAGGCCGTGGCCACTTGTCAGAGATGTGTGACATAGGTAGGTGTAGCATGGCTTGGGCTCCAGGTGCCTGGCCAGGAAGTGGGGCGTCGTGTCAGCTCGCTCAAGAGCTTCTCAAGGATGCAGAGACACTACTCGGGCTTTAAGGGCGTGCCTGGGATGTGGGTGAGGCTTGTGCCCAGAGGAGGGGCTGAGTGGGGGCGTGGCTTGCCTCGGGGGCGTGGCAAGGACACGAGGGCGCGGTTCAGGCGCTCCTGTACTTAGAAGTGGGGCGTGGCTTGGCCCGGGGCGTGGCTCGAGGAGGCTGCGAGCTCTTGACCAGTCCGGGCCATAACTGCGTCTAACAGTTCCTTGCGAGCCAGAGACAGTTGCCTGGACCGTGGGCTGACTCGGACCATCTCCGAAGTGAGCGGCCCTGACTCTGACAGCAAGGATAGATGGAGGACAACAGAGTAGGCAGTGGGCGGGACGGGATCGCTGACAATTCCCCTTCCCCTTCTAGGTCCTGTCCCGGCCATGTGGCCACGGCTGGTCGTACTCATGCTTCTGCAGCTCCGGGCCGCCCAGGGCCCCCCAGTTCCGGCCGCTGGCCGCCGGGAAAGCCTCCAGGGCCCACCTCAAGGTTTTAGCCACCCACCGTGGCAGGAGCAGACAGGAGGAGAGCAAGTCGGGGACTCACAGAAAGTGAGCAGGATTGGTGGGGGGGAGACACCAAGGACAGAACGCAGATTGGTGGGAGCTGAGCATGTCTGTAATCCCAGCACGCTAGGAGGATGAGGCAAGAGCATCGCAAATTCCAGCTCAGTATGGGCAATTTGCAAGACCCTGTTTCAGAGTTAAAAAATAAAAAATAAACAAAAAACTAAAAATAGGAGCAGAAGGTGGGGATGGAGTTCTTTGCCATATCCCTAGCTTCAATCCTCAATTCTGAGAAAGGGATGGCAGGCGGCAGGTTGGTTCCTAAGGGTGGAAAGAGAAGGGGTGGGAGGGGCGTAGGGTGGCCTGGAGGGGCGCGCTAGCTTCGAGGTTGGCCCTGGTGAAGAGGGCCACAAGCGCAGCCGCAGCACAGAGAATCAGGGCCCCTGACTGGGGAACTGGCCCGCACGAGGAAGGACAGCTTATTCC